TTTAAATATGACAAATAAAATGATGAATGCATCCTGTAACATGTATCTAATGCTACAATCATCTTCGGTCCTTTATCAAACTTCAATGAGTTTGCCTAAATGATTTCAATAAAGCCTCAATTCTGCCTTATGCAGATGAACTAGTTATTCACTAAATAATCATGACATGAAGTAGAAAATAAAGATGTACTTTATGTGTCTGCCAACATCTTCGTCTTATGATCAATTTCCAACAAAATTGCTCAATGCGTCAAATGAAGCTGACCCTAGCTGTAAGTACTGCTAATAATCATACATACATGAGCACTCTCAAAATGCAACTAAATAAAGGCTTTGGTCTCACAAAATTGTTTCAAGAATCAAACACTCATGAATAAATATGAATGAAAAATCACAACAGTATCACAACTAATCTTTCATTCATAATATTTCTTTAACATTCATCTAAACATGTATGATGGATACGCAAAACCATACCAAAGACAATCAAGTAGTACAAATCAATTAGACCATAGTCGGACCGATATTTAACATTAGTTCTTAATGCCCTCAAACTCTTTATAAAGACCAACATGTAACCCATCCAATGAAACCATATGCATGAGACAAGGGAAGATAGACAATGCACATATACATCATATAGACAGTATATATATTCATGCAATGTAATCATGTTGTATATTAAAGATCGTGATTTAACTTCAAATCTTCAGCAACCAGTTTCAAAATATTATACATTTCATCAAAGAAGGAAAATTTAGCTTTAGTTCACTCTTTCAAGTTGATTGTAACAATACATGAACAACTCCCACAATCTTTTAGAGCTCAATATCTGTAGGAAAAGTAAATGAGCGTGAAGCCCAAAATTTCTTATACTTATTCTCCCACATGGGCAAAACACTCATTAATTTATTATTTCACGAAAACTACGAATGATAGTTGCTTAAAATTTTAAACAACATAGATTAGAAGTCCAAAACTAAATTCCAGGAGTTAGTCCCAATTGCGATAGGATTTACCATAATTGGTTTTTCTTTTCTATACAAACAAACAAGAATTCTTGTGCAAATCAGAGTGCGGATGGGAGAAAGGAATCAGCATCCTCATATAAAATACTTAAAAGAAATAGCCTTCAACTATTTTCACAGGATAAGAAAAAACCATCGAATAAAAGCTATTTAAGAAAAGAACGGTCAAACCAAAGGCAGACAGGTTTCAAGGAAACTAAAACTGGTCATCAAGTTCCAATAACCGGAAAAAACAACCAACATGGAGATAAATTTAACTTCTAGAGATGGGCAAAGGAAAATGCAGTTTATTGAAACAAATTATTCCAGCAAGTTCCAGTTCACATACCAATTGAAAATTTTCAAACTAGTTTGACTAAGTATGAAAAGTATGCACAACATCATCCAATAATTACTCGACCAAGAGTCCTGCCTATAAATATGGTTTCACACTTTGACCCACCAATCTCTGTATTATTCAAGGCCAATACTAAAGTAAAAGTCAAGATTTGTTCTGCTAAAAACAATTATACTGCAGACACCCACTAGTACCCTATGTCATTGGACTAGAACATGAAGTTGTCTCATAATTTCATGAAATACCGTACGGTATATCACAGTTTGAACTATTCATTATGTCTTTGTTTGGAAAGATTAGTCTCATGTAATAAACTGTTGGTCACAATTTCATTTAAGAAACTCCTTGAACAAAATTTCCTAATAATTCCCACTTTGGTGAAAAATTATATAAACATTTGTTCAAGAATGATTTATCATTGTTATTGCTCCTAAAAACTGTTAGTTTCACTAACCTTTGAGCTGAGTTATTTTTATCCTTATGCCTTTCAACCTGCGTCTAAGAAACTTTACACACATGAATAGTGATCAATATTCAAGACTACAAGTCTAGGATCAATTTAAGAAAACAACTTTATAAAGGGTACGATAATTCATTTAAGGAGACAACAGACTATCAATATCCGAAGAAATTCAAAGTTCATAAATGCATGTTCGTGTCACACCTTTGGGCAAGAAACACAAACTGCCATTTATTGTTTATGTATTCGTATTTTCTTTCCCCACAACCAAAACTAATACTGAAAAGACAAAACCAAACTTTGAGGCAATCAGTCAAAAAAATTAAAACAAATTATGGCATAATTATCATACTTCAACATTTATATCGAGCTTAGTAGAGTAAGCTTATAACCCAAGTAGGAGACTCTTTAGACATCACCCTGACTACATTCAGGGGACGAGTGCCTTCATATTAGTTGTGCCAATCCTGATTAAGGCCATCTAGACCATCCAGACTAGTTGATGCTTAAACACTTGAAAGGAGAAACCAAGCTATTTCTGGAACCTCTACTACAAATAATTGATAACTATCCTTACAGAGAGCCATATGAAGTATTAATTGCCCCATGTATATAAAAATAGACTTTCCAAACCAATGGAACATAATGGCTTGCATTGTATAGCGGCATACCACCCAAACAATATTAGGAAGCTACCCGAGTCAGACCAGTGAAATCTTGCTCCTTGTGTCCATGTACCATGAAATTCAAATAAAGTAAGCATGTAAAGAGTTATCACAGGGGGCATTAAACTGATAAGAGAAACCCAATATTTCCCCTCACTCCAACTTATAAAGCTCCAGTGAAGTGGAAAGCATGATGCTTACAGAAGGATAAGTGAAACTAAAGTCCCAATCATCACATGTGATGGCACCTGCCTTCGCACCCAAAACACAAATTATATTCTCAAAAACTGGACAATAGCCGGCCGCGATAAAACCCAATGAATAAAGAACAAAATGCCCCAAGATCAACTTTCAGATCATTGATATTGAAGGGATCAAAACAGCCAGTGCTCAATAGATTCTTCAAAGAAAGAAAAAGACACCCAATTCCATATACACTAGTATAAATCTTGAATGATTAGACTACTAAAGTAAATAGAAATCACCTAACCTATGTGATTAGTAAAGATTAAAAAATTGGGCAAAGTCAAAACTTGCTTGAATCTTGATTCGACCTAATCAGTTATACCCAAAAGCACATACATTTCATTCCAGCTAAAGATATAAACTTTGGTAATTGAAACAGAAAACCAAAAAGCCTCACATTGCTTCAGGTGCATGCGTATGTTTGATGAAACCTTAATCTTTACAATGAACCTTAGATAACAATGATACAAATAGAGCTAGAAAACATACCTGACGAAGCCAACCTAACATTGTCAGTGGTTGTAAATGCATGTTTATATCACACCTTTGAGATATAAATTGTCATTGTCCTTTGTTGTACAACCATCACTACAGGATCTTATCATGCAATTATATCATGTCTTTGGACAAGAATGTAGCCTGATCAATATGATACTATACACTGATTAAAAACACCTAACAACTTATACATTCTCCTCTTTGGAAAAGAATGTGAACATTTCATGGGTTTTTGAACCACAACGCATGTAAATAGGAAATTGGTTATTCCTTTTGAGTAAACCTTCATCTTTCTGAGCAACAAGCCATTGTACAATACCAGCGGACCTTGCTCTCGCACGATCTCTCCCAATGTCAGGAATGATGGATTGACCCAGAAGACAACGACTCGCCGTTCAGTTGGAGCATCGTCTTCGTTACGTCTACCAGAAATGTCGTCTCTGCCACCATGGCCAAGACCGAGGCCAGTAAGATCTTCCTAAGGCTTTGCGATCTTCGCTTGGTTTCATCGTCAACAAGAGTAAAAACCTTAGAAATTGAATCACTCCATGCATCCTTTCCCAGACCAAAATTTCCATAAAATCCCCAAATCCATAAACCAACACAAACACAGAGAAGAGAAATACATATTAGTGGAAGAGTTATAGTGCCCACGATAAAAAGAAATAAACTGTAGCAATCACCTTACAAATTTTATACATTCTTAAAGCATTAGGATTTCTTATTAATTCATCGGACCTAGGGTTTGCTAACTAGGCTCTGATACCAAATGTTGGAATAACCTTAGTTATTAGCATGCATACTAGGTCACGATTTGAAATTATATAAGAAAGACTTACCTAGTGCAGCCATGGTTACTGTTAATACGCTCAAGAATTCTTCTACTCACTCAAGACCTTATATTCCAATGGTAATAGAACCCTAATTGCAGAACGTATTTCTCTGTGAGCAGGGAACTCTTGCACTTATAAAAGCAATGACAGCCAACTCCCATCTATCGTGGAGGGTTGGTTATTTTCCCGTTGCTTCAAATCCCAATCGTGTAGAGGTGGTTGTGATTAGTGCTTCCTTTCAAATGCACAATGAAAGTATACCCCTCATTATGGGATTTAGCTTTCCACGTATCCAAACTCTTATTAATTTGTATTATCAACATATTATTTCTCCCTTATCTTTAACTAGTTGAGTCCACATAGGATTCTTACAAATGTCGCATATAGATTATTGTGCGGACATTGATGGTCCTCTTAGCATTGGTTGGGAGCCCATCTGTCCGCAATGGTGTCATATCCAAGCTAGAAACAGCTAACAACATAACGCTATGTGTCTTTACTTTTTCACACGTTATTTTGTTATTTGTTTGAGATACCGCTTCGGTTTGTGTGTTAGACTATGAATTTTCTTCATCGTTAAGGTATTCCTCTATATAATGATGATGATTCATGGGATATAAGTAACAAGTGGGATATAACAAGTGTCATTTCTGTAAATATTGGGCCTGTGGGCAATGCCCAATAATTTCGTTTCTCTTGCACACTATTGGGTTCTCAATTAACCCACTTGTCCAACCTCCCTTTTTCACTCCTTATTCTTTTTTTGAAAGCTAGGAAAGATTCATTCCAGGGCACAGAGGCCAATGAAGAAAACAAGAGAGCCTACGAAGAGGCAAACAGCCAACAAGCTCAAGAAGGAAGGCAGCGTAAGGAGTTACAAACAGAGACACAACAACTAAGCTGAAGCGTCACTCCTCACACAACCACCAACAGCTAATGTGGACACGGAAGACCATCATTATTTAACACGAAAACAAGCGAAGATTGAGGCCTATCGACCCAAACAACATCACACAGCTCCGCACAATCACGCGACGTAAGAGCATCTGCCGCCGTATTGGCTGTTCTTGGAACACAAGACCAGCGACAGTTCTGGAAGGTTTCCCCAAAGAGCTTTACTCTTGCTAAAGTAGGAATAGCCTCCCAACTGTCATTCTCTATAGAATTTGAAAGGCAAGAAATCATCTCGGAAGAGTCAGATTCCAGAATAACCTCAGATAGACCCAAAGATGCACCCAGTTCATAGCCCCGCAGCAAAGCCATAGCTTCGGCAGCTGCAGCACAGGGGGCCCGAATGTGGTAATGAGCAGCCGCAATGAAATGAGCCTCAGCGTCGCGTAAAACCACTCCCACAAAACCCGAGCAAGACGTCTTGAACCAGCTGGCATCAACATTTATTTTCGTAAAAGGGGGGGAGGAGGACACCACAACGGAGCACTGCCAGGAACCTGGCCGACACTCTCCCAAAACCGATCAACTTCAGAGACACAGGAAACAGCCAGGAAAGACCCCACAGAATTAGAAATGGCCAGAACAACATTTACAAGGTTGATACGCACCTTATTAAACACAAAAGCACACATGGCCTTCCAAATATGCCAACAAGTATAAGCCACCAATCTTTGGGTCCATAACAACTCAGAACGATTACCAATATCAGGATTAACAATAGCATGTAGCCAACTAATCCAAGAGTTAATAGCCAGCCTGTTAATCCTATAACTCAAAGCCCCACCAAACCATACAGCTTGAACCCATGGACAGAGAAGGAACAAATGCTCAACAGATTCATCATCACACAAGCAGATAGGACAGGTGGGGGAAGTGGTAGACCGCCTCCTGTACAGATTCGCATTAGTAGCCAGAATATTGTGCAGAGAGTTCCATAAAAAATGGCGTATCTTAGGTTGAACATCGATCTTCCATATACAATTCCACAACTTCTCCGGGATGGATCGAACATGAGGTAGGCGATGATCTCTCGCACTCAGAGACCGAGATTGCACCCATCTATACCCAGATTTTACCGTGTACTTACCATTTTTGGTTGCAGCCCAAATCAATCTATCACTTCTACTAATATCTCCAATAGGCGTACCTTCAATTGCCCCTTGATCAGCCACAGAAAGGAAGAGAATCAGAAAGGATAAATCCCAATCCCGAGATTGCGGACAAATTAGAGAGCTAACACGTAGGTTTCTAGTCACCACAACCTCACCCAGCGGAAAAGGGCGCCCCGAAGGAATGGAGGGTAACCAGCAGTCAACCCAAACTCTCACATCCTGACCAACCATAATTTGCCAGTGAGTTCCCTGAATAAGTAGATCACGACCCGATAGAAGGCTACTTCATGCCCAGGAGGCCCTGCCTCCTTTTTTGGCTTCCAAGAAGGAGCAATTGGGGAAGTAACGGGCCTTCATCACTCTAGCCCATAGAGAGGAAGGGTCACAAAGCAGGCGCCAACATTGTTTTGCAAGCAGCGCATCGTTGAACTCCATGAAATTTCGGAAACCCAATCCCCCAAGATTCTTAGGGAGGCCCAAAACTTTCTTCGACACCCAGTGAATTTTATTGTCACCCCCCCCCCCCGTTCCCCCACCAAAACCTAGCAACCAAAGTGTCCAGCTCATCACAGACCACAGCCGGAAATTTGAAAAGATTCATTGGATAAGCAGGAACAGCTTGGACAACCACCTTGATGAGAACCTCCTTGCCCGCCTTCGACAGAGTACATTGCTTCCACCCTTGAAGTTTCTCAATAATACGACCCTTCACATAAGCGAGACCCTGCTTCTTTGAGCGTCCCCAACAGGCCGGGACACCCAAATATGACCCCGGGTTGTCAAGAATCGGCATGCCCAGAATAGATCCCAGCTCCTCAGAAACCCTCACCGAAGTATTCGCTCCAAAGAAAACACTGGACTTTTGCAGGTTAACTTCCTGCACCGAGGCAGCACAGAAAGCCTTAAGGAGATTTACAAGATTCCTGCAATTTTTCTCATTAGCCCTCAAAAAAATTAACATATCATCAGCAAAGAAAATATGAGAAAGAACCGGCCCTGTGATTCCCAACTTGATACCGTCCAAAGACTTTTTTTCCACCGCAGCTTGGATCAATCTGGATAACACTTCTCCAATTAGAAGGAACAAATACGGAGATAGAGGGTCGCCCTGCCGAAGGCCTCGAGAAGGGGCAAACTTGTTGCCGGGATGCCCGTTGAGAATGACAGCAAACTTGACAGAAGTCACACATCCCATGATAAGTTTCCTCCACTGGCTGCAGAACCCCATTTTTTCCATAGTCGCCTCGAGGAAGTCCCATTCAACTCTATCATAAGCTTTTTGCATGTCAACTTTAATACCCAACTCAAACTTATTTTTTAACTTGCGCCCTTTCAGATAATGAAACACATCATGAGTGATCCCGATATTATCTTGTATCTGTCTTCCTGCCACAAAAGCATTCTGAGTAGGAGAAATAATCTGCGGTAGAAGGATCTTTAATTTTATTGCCAGAACCTTGGATAGCACCTTGTAAGAATAATTGCATAGGCTTATAGGTCGGAAATGAGACACAGATTCAGGGTTCGGAATCTTAGGGAGCAACACAATATGGGTGTTATTTATCTCCGTCGGGCTGATCTCATCACGCAGAAAAGACCTCACCAGATTGTTGACATCTTCCACAACAATGTCCCAAAAAGACCTGTAGAAAATCCCCTGAAAGCCATCCGGACCTGGCGCTTTGAAACCCCCCATTTGGAGAGCAGCTTCTTTAATTTCCTCCATGGAAACCGACTCCATGAGAGCCAGATTCATATCAACAGTAACACTACTATGTATGCCTTCCAGCAAGTTTCCCCAGTCCCGAGGTCCCCCCGATTTGAAAACATTCAGAAAGTGATCGTCAACCAGCTTCCTAATATGGTTGGGATTCTCCACCCAACAATCTTCACCATCCTTTAACTTTATAATCATATTCCGTTTGCGTCTCTGAAGAGTGGACTAATGGAAAAATTTGGTGTTCGCATCACCCTCTCGTAACCATTTTACCCGAGACCTCTGGTGCCAGAAACATTCCTCTTGAGCCCAGAGAGTATCAATAATTCTGGACTTTTATTTGATCTCAGAAACATTTTTGCTCCAATTCATTTGAAGTTCCCCCAATTGGCCGAGCAGCTCCTCAATCTGTATTCTCCTGTTGTTAAATTTGTTTCTACTCCATTTGATCAGGAGAGATCTATAATCATCAATTTTCTTTACCCACCTCCTTTGAACATCTCCAACGTTTGCACGGGCCCAACAATTTTCCACCAAATTCCTGCATTCCTCTTCTTTCGCCCAGAAAGCTTCAAACCGGAAAAGTTTCCTTCCCTTCATCCCATTCAACTCCGTTTTAATGATAACCGGGCAGTGGTCAGATCCCAGAACCGTCCCGTGCACAGTAGTGGAAAGTGGCCAGATATCCTGCCATTTCTTGTTGATCAGACCCCGGTCAAGGCGTTCCTCTACCAGATCACCATTCCTCATCCCTCGCCATGTATAGGGAGGCCCATTGAAACCGAGATCCATCAGATTAGAATGGTTGATAAAATCCTCCAGATAACGAGGCCGATTGAACAACATCGGGGCCCCGCCCAATTTTTCATGATCCCACATAAATTCGTTGAAATCCCCCCCCCCACAAAGCCAGGGCATATCCGAAGGGGTAAAGTGATTCTTCATCCAACCCCAGAATTCCGCTTTTTCGCTTTTATAAGTTGTGCCGTAGATCCCAGTGACACGAACCCATTGCTGCGACGCACCAGATTTCACCTGAGCATCAATAACATGCTTAGATGAAAAAATAATATTCACCTCCAGTGAATCCTCCCACCATAAACTTAGACCGCCTGCCCTTCCCATGGGCGAAACATTAAACCCATTCGTGAATCCCATCCTTCTGCGCACTCCATTAATTCTATGATCTTTCATCTTTGTTCCAGAAAGAAAGATCATAGAGGGTCTATTATGTCTTATCTGCCCATGAAGGGCCCGAACTACCGTGTTCGACCCTAGACCACGGCAGTTCCAGAATAGAAAAATCATGGGGATTCTGCGGCTGTTAAGGGCCAGCCGCCACCACCCCGGGCCAAAATACCCGCATCTTTTCCCGCAAAAGCACCATCATACACCCTGCCTTTCTTTTGGGGAGATTGTGATATTTCCATCTCTTGATGTTCCTTTTCCCTTTTCTGTTTATTCCTACCCGAATGAGAGTAGGGTGGGAAAACCAAAGATCCATCCTCATCCTGCTCATTTCCGTTGCCCCATCAGCCACAATTTTCTCTGTGGTCGCCTTCTCGTTGATCTCATGTATAATAACCGATTGCATACCGGGCCCCGTTTGCTGCATGTTCAACTTTTGTAAAAAAGGATAGCAACCAGATCCACTGCCCCATATAGACTGTTGTAAACTTTGCGGAACAAGCCAATTTAGCTGATTAGTTGTCCCCACCGGTTCTTCAGTGTACCTGTGAGCACGAAGCCTCCTTTGCCACTTTTTCCTCCCATAGAATTGGTGAGCACTTCCTTTCCCCTGAATCGGCAGCTTACCCCTTTCCTTTTCACTATCAGCAGTAGACTCCGTTGTATGTTCCAGTTCGGTAATCCCCAAAGACCTTAAATGTGTAGCAGGCACCCTAGCTGCTACAGCTCTCCTTCTTTCACTCGTCCCTGTCATCATGACTTTTGGTCCCTCTTCCACATCCCTGACTGGAGGTGCCTTCAACCATTCTCCGAACCCTGCTGCCCCAGCTTTGGTTGCCTCAAAAGTGCAATCTGTATTAACATGTCTTAGTCGTCCGCATCTATAGCAGAAATCTTGTAATCTCTCATAACAGAATTCCACCCATGTATCTCTATTATCTTCTCTTCTCAACCAGCATCCACTCACAAGAGGTTTGGTCGAATCAATCAATAGTCTAACCCTTAAAAACCCACGAGCTTTCATAGGATCTTCCATTGCCATATAAGTCCCAACCTCTCTAGTCAACCGTTTAACATTTTCTAGAGAGGTGAGGCAAAGAGGAACACCTCGTATTTGGACCCAAAACGGGACTTTTTTTATTTCAACTTCCTCCAGAGCAAGCGCCGCTGGCCAAACAGTGACCAAAAAGTTTTTTTTCATGACCCCTCACGGCACCTGATCAAGAATCTTCCCTGCCACACGTTCATCCGGGACCGAGATGATAAACGTGTTATCTTTTACCCATTTAATCTCTATGTCACCATAACTTTTCCAGGCCGCACGAAGAATGTTCCTAACTCCCCATCTGTTCAGAGGTTTGTCCGCTAGCACCGAACCCACAAGTTTAATACCTGTCTCCACAGTTGACAAGTCCATTGCTTTGTCTAATTGAACCACAAGCTCCTCCACACCCTGCTGCGCCATATTATCCGTATGAAGAAGCACCGATTGAATCGATTGTTCCGCAGAGTACCTCGAATCCAAAAGCGGGGCTTTTTCCAGGCGAACAACTGGGTAAATAGAATGCTTCTTCACCCCACAACCAATTTCTTGAGTTTGTAGTAAATATAAGAGAATGGCAATAAATAATGGTGGTTGGAATAACCTGTATTCGGTGGAAATTGATGACCTGGAGCCTTTTGCAGTTATGGAGGTCGTCTCCGTGCAGTCAGGCATAATCCTCTGTGTCAGAGTCCCCTTCCTACACCTGATGTCGGAGATTAGGGACTTCAGCTTCCCCATTACTACAAGTACCAAAGAGGGCCAAACCCTCCCCCCAAATCAGACAAAATCTATATAGGGCTTGAAAGGGGAGAAAAAGGGGCCAAGAAATAACTAAGAAATAAGCGGAAAACAAACCCCAACCACCCTAATTAACTGACCACCAACCCAAATCACATCAAGAAAGGACCCAACCCGATCAGAGAAAGGAAAAGCAGACCGGAAGGTGCAAGAGTAAATACAACAGAACCAAGGGGAAAGAAATCGACCTGATCCACCAAGATAGCGAGGCTGAAAACGAACCTGAGCCTGACAACTAATAACCACGCACTACGGCGGGATCTCACAGCGGAGAAGAGAACTCTCACAGAGGAGAGAAAAGTTTTCCTGTAGCGGTTTCAACGAAAATATCTATAACAAATATTTCACTCCTTATTCTTTCACTCACCATCTCTAAATTCATTCACCTTACTTCATATCTGTTCGGAGGTCCAATTTCAGAGAATATTGTGGAAGCTCAGTTGTTTTTTTTTTTTTTTTGGTGAACTGGATACTTCATTACCAGGGAAAAAATGCCCAAAAGATACAGAGAAAGCCTACAAGGAGGCAAACAACCAATTTAAAACATAAAACACTGAGTAGTGTAAAGGGATACATGATTCCTCAACGCCACATCTAATGCTAAAAACATCACCCCCTTACACTACCAAATAAAGACCTAGGAAGGGCTGGCAAGCCCATCGTTACAGATTACAGAGGACATGAACTAAGGAAGCTCAGTTGTTTAGTCAACTCTTACACACAGTCAAACTAATAACCACTTGGTCTTACCGTTACCAACCTAAAATACTAAAAACATTTAAAACATATACTCCCACTTATGCCCAACCAGATGCATGTATCGAAATCGAACCAAGGCCTAACCAATTTGGACAGGACTTCCACACCCTCTGTTTCTCGAGGAGAAGGTTTGTTAATCGTCACGGATGCCGTCTCTCGAAGTCTTTGCGCAACACGTTTGAAAACCGCATAATAATATAACGAGTTTTGTTTTCCTCTTAATGTTATGGCACCATTGACCATCCCCATGATCTAAAAAACATTCATATGCTTTCATTTCTCTCTCTCTTTTACATGGATATATGGAAATACACAACATGTTGTAGGAAAGTTATTCCAATAATAACTATGGCAATTATGAGGGAAATCATGAATCAAGAATGGAATGAACGAATATGAACTAGATCAACTACTTGATTTATGATTTCTTTTTAAGATATTGGATTCCGGAGTTTAAAATGTAAATTATGTTTTCCTTTATTTATTCCACAACTAGTAAACGTATCAAAAATTATTTTGCAAAAAATGGGGAAAGTCAACAGTCAAAGTAATTTAAATACTCTTCACCTAATTCAAATACTGTTAAATAAATTTGGCAATGCAGGTCTCAACCAGAAGAAGTGCCAAAGCCAAGTACAAATTTTTATACTTTTTATTCTAGGTAAGGAATAATGGTGAGTTGGTGGCCTCTTTGTTCATCCACAGAGCCGAGCCGAGCCGATTTGTGAGTTCATTGAGCAATTGAGTTATGTGGTTTCGTTTTTCAATAATAATTCTATGTGGTCTTGCTTTTGTACAATGATTTTATGTTGCCTCGTAATTTAGTAATGACTAGTGTGTTGCTGAAATATTATTGATGCGTCTATCGTTATTAGTGGCATGTCTGCACAAGTGACGGCTCGTATGTTTGTGTTCATAGGTTCATATTTATGGTAGCCATGTAGGAGGTTACTCTAATTTGTATGTCTAGACTATTTCACTCCACATCAATTATGGTCATCGGAACATTGTACCCAATTAACAATTTTTTGTATTTGTATTTTTTTCTGAGACCAATGAAATACCATCTATGGCTTCTAGTAAAAAAAAAAAGGAATAGAGACATGCTAAAGAAATTCTCTTAAACTGAGACTCTTCATAAACTCTTTGTCACCTCACAGTTTATATTAATTATTATGCAAATATTATAAAATATTATATCAAAACATAAAATGATAGAAAATTCATAAAAAATTTTACTTTGAAGATAATTTTCATAACATTTCTCCAATGAATAACGGTGAGTTTGGTCATATTTTGGTAGCCGTGCGTGAAAAGTAAGGTCCACCGTCAGCCAAACACGTTTTCTATTACTTTATAGTACAAGTCACAATACAAACTAGATGTATTATTCCAAAGGAAACCAAAG